GTGAAGCCTGGCTCCACCTCTCCTAGATCCCATTTAAGTGCTGACTACTAAGAGGAGGATTCTCTTTCTGGAGGTTGCTTCTTGAAGTTTACTGTGAGCTTATAACACTGGTGAGCATTTCTATTTATTTGGATTATCTTTCTATTGTGGTAATCTTATTCAGCCTAACTTCTGTATGCCTACTGATTGTACAGTTACCAGCTGTCAACTTAAACTTATCTAATTTACAAATAGTAAGCAAAGTGTAAAGAAGTACCATCCTGTTTATAAATTTAAAAGCTGAAAATGTGTTCCCTATGTTATTTCTAGCTGAATAGCAATTTTAGAAACTAAGTACCAGTGGCCAGAATTCTGCCATCTTTCATAGTATTAGTATTACAGCTAACAGACAAGAAGAAAGCCAGAATTGTAAGAAATAAAGAAAAAATCATAAAGTGTCTCTGTATGGGCATTGTCAGGTCATGATCTAAGCCAATGATTGAGCACTAGGTGAGAAGGTGCATCTAACTCAGAGCATTTAGGTGCAAGCAATACACCTGAGCAGCCAGGAGGAATGGACCCAGAGTCCACCTCCTCCTAACCCTTATTTAAGGGTTAGTAGCCAAGGAAGCAACATCTTTATTCAGACATTGCGTTCTGCTTGAGATGTTGTTGGTTCTTGAAAAGGTTAAGTCACCTTCTTCTACCTACCTTTTTAAACTAAATTTTAACAATTATCTTCATAAGCATATTCCTATTCTTGTAGAAGGCATTGTTGCCTTCCATTGCTCCACATTCTCTAATCAGTAGCACCTGCTCTTGGATATGGTCATTTGGAATGGTTAAATATGTTAAATGGCTAAATACTTGTATTCTTATGTTAAAATGTAACAGAACAGAAACTACATTCCTTATTCAGAACTTCCATGAAAAGTATACTGAATTTTCATAGGAACTTTTTTAGCTAAGAAGGACTTCAAAAGAAAGAAGTAAGAGCTGATGGAGAAGAACTGCAGTGAGTTATGTTATGAGATTGACTCAAATGAAAAACTCAAGACTGATTTCTAATTACCTTACCCATATGAATCCTCTCTGAGGCATATGATGTAACAGCAGTTTAAAAGAATTTCCTTTAGTGGAAGATAACCAATAAAAGGTTCTCCAATATAGCATGTAAAAGCTCTAGGAAAGTTCTGGTGTAACTACAAATGATTAGAACTTAAATATAAATGGAAGATAACAGTTCTGTGTTGAAGTTGTAGGATAACAGGACAGAAGACAAGTTTCTCTAAGTATAAGCATAATTACCTGTAGCACAGGTAATACTTGAACACTTCACAAAGCACTGTATAAGAAATGGCTTTAAGAGTACATTCAAAAATGGCTTTGAAGTCTTTTAAAGCTACTACAGTTGCTCTGACAAATCCTTATTTTTAAATTTAAACAAGGAACAGTATTTGTTTGGTACAGATATCTTTCTTTACCATCTAAGCCCTCTTCTATTTTATATAGCACTACTATTAACTCATTTTCAAGTTAATGCAAAAAATAAGACTCGCCTGCAGAAGGCTGTTAAGTATGCCAGACTATTTTCTGCAAGAAGACTTTCAGGAAAGAACCTCTTTTCTTTCCTGTTGCTTTAATCATGCAAGTTACCCTCTGACATCTGTCACAACCTATTATATCATACTGCTGATGCTGGTAAATACTAACTTAAAATTCACTTGTAGGTGAAGTGACATACTGCACAGCCTGAGGGTTCTTCTCCCTCAAGAAAAAAGTCTAAGAATATCATTGTAAATATTTTATGGCTTGAGCTGTTCCATGAGGGAAGAGTTTTTACTCTTCATGGTTGTATGTTAGGATACTTCCAGAATCCACGTAGCTTCTAAAGGTCATTAATATGTTCTGGTAGATTTTAACAGAGGCTTTGAAAGGTTAAAAACCTAGTAGCAATTGATCAGTGGAATGTTTTATAGCAGTTTTAAGTTAAGCCTGGCATAATGTTGGATTCCTTAATGTTTACACAGATAAAATTTGAAAGATGAATGCAGATTTCTGAAGAACCTGGATGAAGTACTTCTGCTCTTGATCTTCTGGTTTTTGTAATATAAGAAAGGAAAATAAAAATGTGCTGTGACACTAGGAGAGCTCTTATTAAGGACTGAGAGCAAAAGTTCTGCACGCCTCAAATTGCAACCAGAATGTGAAACATGGATAGGAAAGTGGTATATTTTCCCTTTAATATGGGCAAAACTGAAAATGCAGGGTACATTTCAGGTTTACTTGTATCAAGCCACAAGAATTGAGATCCTACCCTCTGACTTTTGTTTGAAGGAACAACTCTGAATGTCTCCATCTTCACAAGTAACTTCCCTCTCAAGAAATGACACAGAACCCCATGAAGTAGGCTCTGGGTCAGCTCTAAGAACATAACAGTTCCAAAGCATGCTTTTCATAAAAACAGTAGAAATAACTAGTGTAGTCAGAAAAAAATCTGAGAGTAAAAATGCTTTCTTGTGTAGTTGCTAAATTACCTTCTCTTAGAATGCATGGTTTTATTTAGATCAGATCAAGTGTTTAACTGCACAGAAGTACCTGATCTAAGGTACTTCTGAGGCCCAGTGAGTAACTTTGGGGGTCTGAAGATTTATAGACACAATATACTCCTGATGTATTAAGCCCCAGAATTAGATTATTACTTGTTACCTCCTCTTCTTTACGGATATTGCACTGTATAGGAGTCACTTTGGCAGGACTCGCTGAAGAAAATGTATTATTCAGTTCTTCTGCAGTGGCTTTTAATCGGTCAAATTTACGAGCAGCAATAACAACACTGCAACCTATGGAGAGACGGAATGAAAAATTTTTCAGTTTACAGTCAAAACTGCAGTTATCCTAGGCTAATAGCATGAAGAGATATTCTGTAGGATATGCATTTATTAGTCACTGACTAGAAGATACAATGAAGGAATTCTTGTCAGAGAGAAAGGAATGACTAATGCGAGATGCTTCTTAGCAACAAGATCCCAGTGTGCCATGCAAAGAACAACCAAGGTAAAAATGGCTATATTCACTCTCCTTTGTGCAGAAGGGGAGATAGCCTGTGAGTTGTGGTCAGAGTAGCTTTCAGACATGACTTTGCAGCTATTTTTCAAGCCTTATGAGATTTAAAGATGTTTCAGCTGGTCTTGATTATAAAAACTTGCTCCTGAAACTTACAAAAATCTTATTGCAACTCTATCCACAATTTTGACCAGGAGTGAGTAAACATAATGCTCTGCTTTATAACCCTACAGAGTCTAAGGCAGAGCACGATGAAGTTGTAAGATTAATTTTTATCTGTGGACTATAGGCAGCAGGAACAGAGGCTTCCCCAGGGCACTTGCACTTGCTGCATAATCCCAGATCAGGAAGGAGAGGAGAAAAAATGCCTAGTCAGGTACTCAGACCTTCTGCTTTGCATGCATGTAACTTGGGTACAAAATTACCAGTCAGCATTCACATAACAAATGGACTAATTTATTGTCATCAGTAGACTAAGGATAGGTTCAAGTCTGGTGATTGTCACTACAGACTAAAACAGATCCGACCAAATTAATCCTTAGTACAAATCCATTTTGGCAAGGTGGGAGGCCTCATTCCCACCTTCCTCTTGATATAGTCTTTATATCCCAATAGAAGCCATCCATTCCTCACACCAGCTCTGGTGTTCTTCTGCTTAAACATAAATGAATTCAAAACACTAAACCAGCCAAAAATGAAGTTAATGTTTTGCCAGGTGTTTTTTTTCCTTTTGTTGCTATTTTGCAGTGGAATTTAGCCTCTCATGTAATTAAACAAACACCAGAATCATCTCAAAATAACTTGTGGGAGTAAAGAGCAGCAAGCTGTTCATTTGGCTCAGGCTCTCTCCTGAAACTATACATAAAACTTATGTTTTAAAAAAAAAAGCAAAACTTCTTCCAGAAGGATGTGCTCAACTATGGATGTCTAAGAAAAGGGCCTTCACCTTTGATCACCAGCCATCTTGAAGTAGCACATGTGAAGGTGTTAGACTGAGGTCTCATGGGTTTTTTTTAGGTGAGGGACTCGTTCACCTACACAACAACCTGAGTTCATAGAGAGGCACATGTCATCAGCAGTTAACACTAAATACTAATTTATTATAGCACTTGAATGTTTATTTATTTAAAACCACTACAGAATCATGCCCAGCAGAAGAATACTTTTGCTTGACATGCTGATGTAGGAGAGGGCAGGCTCTAACTCATAAGGATGACTGTATCTACTGCACACACTGTTACTCCTTCAGTAAAGTCTATATTTATCTTCAACAAAGAATGACCAGACCATTTCCTGTAATTGCCAATGTGGGCAGGGACAGATGCACTTCCAGACAAAGGGCTTAAATCTCTGCAAAAGGCTCTGAAAGAGGCGGGTTATAAAAACAACGTGCATCGCGACCAGCCACTGCTCACAGGTATTTGCTGTCCAACCAGACCTTCTTCCAAAAAAACCAAACAACAACTCAACAACACAGCCTGAAGCGCAAGGCACGCGTGGAAATGGTTCCCAGCAGGGGTGACCTACAGCCCGTAACTCAGCACAGACCCGCTCGCCGAGCGCTACGACCGCCGAACGCCCTAACACCCGCCGACCCGAGTCCCCACGTCCCTCAAGGCCCGCATCCTTGCGCCCCCCGTCTTCGCTTCACACCCGCCCACCTAACGCCAGCAAGTCGGCGGCGATGGCCTTGCCGATGCCGGTGCCGCCGCCGGTGACGATGGCCACCCGCCCGCTGAAAAGCCCCGCCGCCAGCAGCCCGCGCCGCGCCGCCATCTTCCCCCCCTCGCACGCAGCGGGCCGCCACCGCCCCGCCACGTGACGCGTCGCCCCGCCCGCACCGGGGCTGAGCGCCGCGGACGGCGGCGGTGCGCGGGGCCCCGGCGGCTCGGGAGGAAGCGGGCGGCGGCGCGGCTCCGGGGCCCCGCGGGCGGAGCGGGCAGGTAGGCGGCTGCGGCTACCCGCGGGTTGGGCTGCGGCATCTCCTCGTCCCCAGGGTGGCTCCCGGTAGCGTCTAGCGGTAGGACTGCGTGCTGCGGGAGGAAACGGTGCTGGAGCATCGGTGAACCGAGCGGAGCATCCCGGTGACTCGTGGTCGCCCGTGCCTGCTGCCTCCCTGCGACAGAGCCTTCGGCCTGGATCCAGCCGTAGCGCGCTGGCTTTAAAGGGGGCGTTTTATTGTGTTGTAGTCTATCGCATTGTGCTTCGTTTCTATTTATTTGTGAAGAAAGTGTACTTTTCCCAGCACTGCGTGTTCTTCCATGTTGTCTCCTGGAGCAGGAGAGCACAGCCCGCAATGTCCCCAACATAGCCATTTTGTGCTGCGATGCCACAGTCGTGTTTTCTTACTGAAGAATGCACGGTGAGCTCAGCTGGCGCAGAGGGCAGTCAGCATCTGTCCCACGATGAGGTGGCAGAGCGTCTTGGTGCTTTGCAGGTGACTTTAACTAGCGCTGATGTGCCCAGGGGTTTGTGTGTGATGTGTGTCCTTCCATGCATCTTCTCTGTCCTTTTCAGTAAATGTTTAAAAGAGTATCTTTCAGTTGCATCCTGTCACTTTTCCCTTAGGAAAGGTGGAGAGAGAGAATAGAAACATGCATTAATGAAGTGGGAGATTCACTGTGTCTCTTCTGCTTTTCTCATTTGTTAAGTGGTCTCATTTATTTTTCCCAGAGCATACTTTAAATCAAAGTAAATTGCAAGATAACACCTTTATCCTGTAGTTTGGTTTCACAGGAAAGTGAATTCCCTTCTAAGTGTGTAGTAAGAGAGGCATGAAGAAGTTGCGGCCTGTCCATGCTCACCCAGCAAAGGATGAGAAGCCAGAAGCAGATCTCTGCATGGTGACAGCCTGGTGAGGCACCAAAGCTGCCTTCCGGATGGGTTAAAATGTGCAGAATACTTCAGTGTTCTAAAGGTGTTATTTCCATTTCGTGGTGGATGACACTGCAAGATTTTTTTTCCCTCCTCTTTCAATCATCTTCCACAATCTGGAGGCTCCACAGATCCCCATTGTCTCTGGATGCCCTACATATTTAAGGCAGGCTGTAGCAAAGAGATCTTTAATTAATCCCAGGGAGAAGCACTCACTGGTACTAGTGAACTAGATCTTCAAGCAACAGGCCAGCAGGGAATATCTGGCTGGATACTGTTTGTAGTACTTGCTTGTTAGATTTCCTGGAGAGCCCAGTCAGAGGGTTTTTCTTCCATGTTGAGATAAGTAACTTGTTTCCCATGAGGTTTTGGAATTTCTCAGTAGCCATGGAAATGCCATGAAGAAGAGGCTTAACACATTAGGTAAGGTTCCGTGAGTGGTGGGCACGAGGATAAAGGGGAAAGGAATAAAGACCCAAGAGTAAGGGGGCAAGAAAAGGAGGCAGCCATTCCTTAGCGCTTAGCCCCTTCTGGTAGAAGATCGATCCACAAACAGCTGAGCTGAGATAACCAATTTTCACAGATATCTTCTGTAAGTCAATGGTTCTCACAGTGTTGTGCAGGTTGGCTTTAAAACAAGGATATCTTTGTGTGAGTTGGTTGTATTTCTGTGTTTTAAATTCAGAACAATTTAAGCTGAAAAGAAGAAAATCTTATTAACTGAAATCAATTTTAATCTCCTCTTACACTTGTGCTTTCTTATTCACAAAGGAATGTTCATTTCCTTTTGCTGGTTCCATTAAAATGTGATGGTATGTTCCTATGCAGCCATAGCAGTAAAGTCAGTAAGCAGAAAGCTATTCCTCTATGTTATTCTATAAATTTAGTGTTTGGATTCTTAATTTTTGTGTATTAGGAAATAGTGTCTGGTTAGACAGATGTTTGTTCTTTTTTTCTAACCTAAAGTATGTCAGGTTGCATCTGGGAGAAAGTAAATCTGCATTTAAAGCCTCAAAGCATTCCTTTTCTTTCTTTCTTTTTTTTCTTAATGCTAAAACCTACCTATTCTTTTTCTTGATGTATCTATCACCTAAACATTAACCATTTAAAATTAAAATGACACTCTTAGGAAAAAGAATTCATCACTAGTTGTTTTTTCCATTTGTCAGCTCTTCAGAGTTGTGCAATTAGCACATCATTCTTTAGCATCTACTCTTGTATTTATAGATTGACAGGAAAAACTAGCTCTCCTATTTTTTCAGCTCCCATATTGTCTCAGCTTTGAATGAACTAGTTCAATTTGTTGAGATGAATAAGAAACTCTGCATTTTTAGAAAAGGCTGCTTTTGTCCAAAGCCGATTTTGTGCTTTGCCAGCCTGTGGCTCAGCTATTCAGCTGGTGACATCTGCCAGTCCAGCACTCTGCAACACTTTAAAATTTCAGCAGAACATTTACTGCTTTAATATTCCTTATAGCCTGCAGTCGTTCATGCAGTTTAGTGCAGTCACTCTGTGCCCTCCAACAGCTCATAATCTATGTTGGCAAGGGGGAAGGTCTCGGAGTTGTTAAATACCAACCTGATTGCAGGCTCCAGACAGGGCAGAAGCCTCAGTGGGATCCAAATCCTGACCAGTAGTACCACAGAGAGGTAAAAGCAGAGGAGATTTAATGAAAAATATCCTAGTGCTAGAAATAAAACCTTACACTCAAAGATGGTTTATGACATAGAGTTTCTGGTAGCCTGCAGAAAAAATGCCAGACTCCAGCTCTGACTGCTGCTGCTTTTCCAGATCCCACTCCCATGTATGCTCCTGGTTTATGTCTTTTGTCTCTTGGGATACCAAATTACACGAAGTATAACAACAAGCATTTCTACCCTGCTATGTTTATTACAAGAAATATCTGGACTGAGCCCAAACTGAATGAAAAACAGTATGAGTTTCTGTTCCCTTACCTCTCTGGATTCTTCTATGGGAATCACACAAAGGGCCTCTTTAGAAGTCCTTGCTGCTCTCACCTCCTGCCTGTCTTTGCATTCTCTGCTGTGGTTATTGTTTCTTTTCATCATCTCCTGCTGGCACATAAGAGTCTTTCGTGACTTCTGGCTTCCTGGGCAGTCCCACGTGATGATCAGGTTCTCTGGCCAATCCATCTTTTCATGAGTTTCTCCACTGGGAAGGGACTTTGCTCTCCAGGATATCTTGGGGGATGGCAATCTAATTAGGAGATAATCAGAATTTTTCAGAGCACATCCTCTTTCCTCAGTATCCCTAGGAATTTCACTCCAGTGATTAAAAAGAAGAAGAGGAGACACCATACTGAAAGTAGAGTTTGTAATCACACAAGATGTAGCTACATACCAATTTGAAGATATTTGATACTGGTATTCTACATGTTCTAAATAATCACATGCCCCACTGACACCATATGATATAGTAGCATTCATTTGTCTGCAATTGAAAGTGCTGCATTTTTAATATACTGGTATCATGGATCTGTGTCTGCACTTGTATCCAATTGAGAGTCCCCCGAGTCAACTAATTCCTGCTGCTGGAGATACTGTCTAAGTATCTTAGATTATATTTACTGTGCAATGCATTAAACAATCCTGAATCATTCCCAGGGGACCTTCCAGTTCTCTCTCTGTCTGCCTCTTTAGCATCTCCTGGGATGCAGCTGGATGTTGCTCAGATAAAACTCTGATCTGAAGCCCCTAAATATCTTGACCAAATAAGAACTCAAAGATGTAGTTTTGTGCAAGTATTTTTCAGATAATCCTCACTCTGTTGTTAATCTTTTCTTGGCATCTGCTTAGATGCCCAGAGGAAGCACAACACCAGTTTGGTGTGTGGAGGAAGCATCTTCTAATCCTGCTTAATATAAAGCCTTCCAGTTGAAGATGTATCACAAAAATGGATGCTATGACAATCCTGAGCATTGCTACGGAAGTAACATGCGGGTGTAACTGACTTGTTTCTACTCATCTTACGGTACCATATAGCCCAACAAGGTCCAGGTAAATAAGCCAGGAATTACAACAGGCATCTGCTGTTTCAAGATGCAAGATGACCCACTTTGGGCAAATGCTCAAGTGAGGGGTAGCCTAGAGGAAGAGAGAGTGAGCACATTTTTTCTTTATCTAGAGATTTTGGGACTTCTTTTAAATTTATTCAAGATACAGATCTAAGCACTTAGATTGCTTTGAGGATTTCAGGCCATCCTCCATTTCCAAGTCATGGTCCTTTTAAAGTCTTGGTTCCCTATAAAGGCTCTCCTGCATGTGCCATGCATTGAATTTCTCACAAAGTATAACTAACGTAAGGAAACAGATCTCATCCCTAGAAGTACTGGGAAGCTTTGGGTACTTTGTTTTCATTTCTCATTCTTCTAGCTATCTGGACAAAGAACGAGGAGACAAGGGAGATACAGCACTTTAGGTGTTTGCTCTTAAAGGTAGACCAGCAGAGCTTGGGGGTTTGTAATAAGTAAGTGTAGTGGAAACACTGAGTCACAGCTTGAACCAGTGGTGGGCACCTGATGGGAAGGCAGGGGCAACTCAGGTGCATGCAATGCATTGAGTGACTGAAAGGGGTGGAGTCAGGATCCATCCCTTCCCAGACTTCATTTAAGGGTTGGCAATGAAGGTAAGAGTGTCTTGCTGGAGGTCTCTGCCTACCTGGTTTTTTCTCGTATTTCTGCACTCGTTGTTGTATCTGAGTTTATCATTTGCTGTGGCCTGAGTCCTTGCTGCTTGCTTTCTTGTACTTTCCATCATATTACAGTTAGTATGCAAGAAAAATGATGAGGTAATTTTTTAAATATAAAAATGTATAGCTATGCTCGTATCCTGTTTTCTGGACTTCAGTAATGCTGATCTACACAGCAGTTATTATTCCCTGACATTTGGAAAAGTTATGGAACAACAGAAGGGGAAAAAAAAAAAAGAAAGGGCATTTTAGAGAATCTCTTTTATGAATTGAATCTTGACTTTTTAAAAAGTCTTTGAAAATGTCATCCTGAAGCAATTTAGTGGAAAGCTTCTCTTCCCTGCTTTTGTTTTAATTTTGGCTGTATCTGTAGAAAGCCATCAGTAACTGTTTGGGTGTTTCACATAAAGGATGGAGGAGGGCAGGGAGAGAGATGGTCCTGAGCTAAGCAGCATGGCAGCACAATTGGTGAGCCATCCATTCAAATCCAAGTGACTCTATTCTTGCTGAACTGCAGTTTCAGCATAGGTGCATCTGTGCTGGCCAGGTTCTTGTTACCAAGTGCTTTGGTCCAGAAGCCTTAGTGTGGGACAGCACTAGCACAAATCCTGCCTGCTGATAGGCAGAGACATTTGCCTGTGATAAATCAGGATGCTTGCATGTGTGGACTGTGTCACTTGCCTGCTCCTCCTTTTGCTTTTAGCTTGAGCTTTTAGCACTTTCAGATCCTGAAGGATTGGCAAGGAGCCTCATTAGCAAATACCTATAAAGATTTTGGTGGTAGAGGTTATCTCACTGCATTATACTCTCTACTCTCATGCTTAGTGGTTTTGGCAGTCCAGCTTGTATTTTGCTCTCACTTTGATGCGTGTACTCAGGGGTATGGTCTTTTCTTGTCTCTCTTTCCAAAAGAAATAAAAATGCTTTGAAGCTTGTGGATTAAGTAAAGAGAAGTGTGATCTATGAGCTTTGTTGCTTGCTTTCTCCTACCCTGCTGGGAGACCGTAAGCAGGTGTTTCTCTTTGTGCCTCTTGTTATTCTATGCAGTCACTTAATGCAGCCTTGTGACGGGCCACTGCCATAAGGTATATTTTTCCTCCACTTCCTACTTCTGGATGTTGCTACATGGCAAATGTGATGAGAGGATTTGTTTAGCTGAAAATAATGTTTTATTTTCTTCTAAAATGTAAAAGGCTTGTTATCAGAAAGATAAATCTCCCTGATGTGTTCACTGCAAGCTGCACAGCTGCAACTGCTGGTAGGAAGGAGCTCTTCTCACCTTGCCTTCTCACAGATCATTCATCACTGCCTTGCTATTTGCTAGGTTGAAGTAACTGTGATCTAGTTTATGCCATTTCACGTTGAAATAGAGATAAGCATTGTCCACAGTTTCAGCAGGGTATTGTGAGGATGTGTATGTGAAAGATCATTTCAGATCATTTAGGTGAGCCCTATTGTCTGACTCTTTCCTAGCATAAGGTCTGAATTAATTTCTTATATAGGTCTTACCATGCATGTTGTAGGGTTTGAGTATGTATGTCCTGCATTGGACCACTTCATTTTGTCATAACAGGATTGATTGATGACAGATCTGCCCCAGACAGATACCATCTGTTTTTCATGTGTACAATGTGACAGCAGGCAAACACTTTAAAAAATATCAGGAATTGATACTAACCTTTCAGCTAATGTGCACTTAAGAAACACACGTATAAAATCAGAAGCAATGTTGGGGATGGGGAGGGCATGGAATGAAGGGAGCAAGTGAAGGACAACCTATGGTTGGAGAGCTCTCTCAAGACAGATGTTTGGTGTAAACTTTCCTTGATCTCTTCCCTGTCCTGGGTAACTGTCAGTGCTAAGTCACAGCTTGTTTTTTGTTCTTGCAGATAACTCCTGTGGGATGTGCGTGAAGATACAGTGCCAGTTCTTACATGTGTTATGTGATTATAAAAATAAAAATCAATGTTTCTCATTGCTTTTTATTTTTTCATCTTATGTCTCCTCTGAGTAGTCAAAAAGATTTCTTGTGCAATGGCAAGGATTTAAAATCAAGGATTTTGTGGTATAATGCTTTCTTCCTGTCTGCATTCAAACCGGATAATTTCTCTTCTATTAGCAGAAGCTGAAAGCCAGTGGAAAAGCTTCCTTTGACCTCAGTGGTTTAAGACCAAGCTTTTAGACTCCTGTTTTGTATGTCAAAGACTACTACTGTCACAGGAATTGTATGCAGCAGTAGCTTTCCTGCATAGTAACAGAAGACTATGCTTCTAAAAATTCTTCTATAGAGTGTTTTTGCAGAGTCACTCCAGGGTTTTCCATCTGTTTTCACAGAGAGTTTAATAACAAATTGTTTGGTTAATAAACCTCTAAAATTTCACCATCTTTTTTCCTTCTCTCACACAGTTATTTTGTTCCTGTCTCCCTCTGTGCTCTCACATGGGAGATGTCATCAGTTGTATCAGCTGCACAGCAGTTGTCATTCTTCAACCCCACAGCAAGGCTTTGAGGGCTGGAGATCTCAGTGTGCGTGGCTGAAAGAGTTGGTGATATGGATAGTTGTGTAGCGCTGAGGGCTTGCCTCATTTTCAGGAGACATAAAGAACAGTGAAAAACTATATTGAATGTCTATTGTGATACACTACAGGAGCCCACTTCTTGCTCATAACTGTGGAAAAAATATTCCCAGCAAAAATGGGACTCAAGTGCGAACTTGTTTGATTTAGCAGCAGCTCCGAGAGATGTGGGGTTGGTAGTGGTGTTTTGAGATGCTATCTTCAGGAGGTCAGGGCTGGGCAGTAGAGGGTATCCTTGCTGCCGTGTTGTCAGAAACAGCTGAGAAAAGAAATGCATCTACTGTGAAAACAAGCTTAAGATCAGGAAGGATCCTTGTGTTCTTTTAATCTGATAATTCCCTAATACAAGTCAAAGAGCTTCCCTACAATAATACCTCTTCTGGTTGAGTATCAGCGACTAAACTGCTGCCAAGATAGCCAATCTAGATTTGGAAGTTTCCAGTGATGGTTCAATTCTCCAAAGCCCTCAGGGATATATTTGTTATAACGCCTACCTAATGTCTGCTGTGTATTTTTCTGTCAGCTTTTTATCTTATTGCATCCTCCTTTGCTGGATTAGAGGGATCTTTTTCACTGTGTTCCTCTTCTGATGTATGGAACATACACATCTGCTCGGTAATTAGCATTCTGTCTGACTGATGAGAATAAGAACTGGACGCAGATTTCCAGAAGCAATCATATCTGTGCCAAATCGAAAAGTAACATCACATTTTGTCTCCTTGCATGGTCAAAGTTAACATAGTCCTTTAGGCTTTGGCATTATGCTGAGAACTGATTTTGGCTTACTGTCTGCTGTGAGTTAATGAAGATCACAGCTTGATAAACTTTTTTTTTTTTTTTTTTTTTTTTAACTTTCATGTGTCCAGGATTTTAGAAGGTCGCTCAAGTAGCAATGCTTTCAGTTTCATGGTGACTCTGGGCCTGCTTTCTTTC